ACTCGATGGCACCTGACAACAACAACAAGGGGCTGAGGAGGCTGCCTGGCAGGTGGCTCCCACAGGCATGGCCACTCTGGGCCTATTAACTTAGTCTCTCTGTGGTACTGCCTCTGTGGGTAGAACAGCCAAGGAGGAAAGGAAATAAAAAGACCCTCAAGTCGGGGGGCCCTACCCACCATCACTCACCTGGTTCCTTTCCCAGAGAGATGGAAGGGGAAGACCCCTGATTGTATTTTCATTGCTGCCTTTTTAATAAGCACCTTGCTTAGTGCCAGACACTGGGAAGTTAGAGTGAATGTAACCTAGACCCTGCCTTCAGCTCACCTGGAGGCTGGTGGGTGTGCATCCCCCTTCCTCATGGAGTGTCTCTGAATGAATGGGTCTGTGGTGTCTGTTGTGTGGCACTCAGGAATTATGGGCACTGATGGCTACAGAAGGGAGCCCCAAGTGAGGGCAGTGTCAGGAAGCTGAACTCTTGATGGGAGGGACTGTGTAACCTAGGTACCCCTGGAGAGAGAGGCAAGATCATTTTACTTATCTCTGTCTCTCCTCCCTGTCTCAATTTATACTGCCTGGACCCTTGGAGAAGCTTTAGGGACCCCTTCACTCATCAAGAGATGTTGCCAACGTGGGACTCATGTCCTGCTACACCCTCTCTGCACGGTGTCTGGTGTGTAGAGATCTCCTTCCCAAACCCCAGGAGCTGAGGTCCAGCAAGGTCTACAGTCATGTGGCTAATTGGTGGCTGAGTAGGGTCAGGAGTTCAGGTCTCCTGATTTCCAGGACATTGTCTCCTGGCTGTGTTGTGCTACCTTCTCCTCTAATATTCTTCCCAAAGGACATTCCCATGGTGGAGCAGGGCCTTGGCACTTGGGGCTGCTGAGCAGAGATGTGGGTATCTGGGCACTATAGAGGACCAGGAGCTGGGAAGGCCCCTCAGTGGCCCTATGTCTGGGCCTGCTTGGTGAGCTCTACTGGCATCTTTGATGCTGTGTCTGATCTGCTCTTACACTGCCATTCCTAACTGTAGCTTCCTCCGAGAATTGCCATCCCTGCCTAGGGCTCTGTGGAACTTGGCAAAGGCCTGGCAGAATCTGCAGAATGATCTCTCCCAGGGCCTTCAGATCCTGCCTAAATGCCTGATGACTGTGCTGTTGCTTGCTGTCAACTCTAGGTTCTTCACCTTCTTTCCCTGTGCTCTGGAATTGGGGAATCTGTAGGAGACACTTTGTTTCTGAAGCAATGAAGCAGTCCTGTTGTAGGCTCTCAGTGACGGGGTCAGCAAGATGCTGTTGGTCGCTCCCACTGAAATGCCTCTTCGTATCCTCCCTCCCACACCTCTGCCTGCTGAATCCGATTCAAATGTCATCCTACTTTCTGTGTAACCTTCCCAAGTCTTTTAGGCAAAGTTGCCTCCTACCTTTGGACTCCCACTTGATCTCATGTGGGCATTTGCCTCACATATTATACTAGGTGAGTGTCCCTCAAGAACAGGGCCACATCTGAGTCTACTTTGTGACCTTGTCTAACTAAGTGCTCAATGCCTAGCACTTGGTGGTGTTATTTTAGTTAGCTGGTCCCTGACTCACGGTGACCCTGTGCGCAATAGAATGAAATACTGCCTAATCCCACATAATCCCAGGAGAGGTTCCAGAGTGGAGCATTGTGATCCTTCTCACTGAGTAGGTGTGCCATAAAAGTTGAATGTAAAAGTCCAGAGTCCCTAATTCATTTGATTCATTGGCGCTTTCTGCTTTCCATTCTAGAACAGGACCTGTGTCATTGCTCACAGGCAACTCTTTATTCATCTTCTCTCTATACATTTAGCTGGTTTGCCTCTGTGTGCAAGGTGAAGGAGCCTTTCTATCAAGGATGTAGAAGAATTGGTTAGAAAGCTTCTTGGTAACATGATGGAGCCTGAACTAGGGCATGCAGTGGGGATGGGAAAGAAGACTGGCAGGAGTTAGTGCTTTCCCTGAGCACAATCTGTTTCCAGAATCCATAACATTCCCCGGGACTCAGAATACTCATGTACATAGTCCCATCAAATCAACTGAATCCCAGCTTTCCTGTGGTGCTCATTGGCAAGCCCTACTAGCACACATTCTGCTTTGGTCTCCTGGTCTCCATGAGCCAATTTCTATTCTCACTCTTGACATTACCAACTATGTCTTGGGTGGTATTAAAGATGAATTTGGAGAGGTTGCTACAAGGCCCCCTCATCACAGGCCTGCAGTAGATTCATCAGGCACCGCTGTTTGCCCC